CTCTACATAATGAAGGGCCCTCCCGTAAATCTCAGGAATCAAGGCTTCATTTTCTTAGTAGATGTGATCTTCAAAGTCTACAAAATGAGGCCTCTTGTCTACAAAATGGGGGCCTTATTGTATATTACACTATCTTCCTCTTGTTTCCATGTCGTTTGTCTTGGAGATTTTCATTTGAGCCAGGACTTGGCCTCACTTGGTGGCCGATGGCGGGGCCACGGTGTTACAGGCCACAGCGCCGGAGTTGCTGCCAGAGCTGGTGCTCGGAGATTTGGATTCAGCGCGGCCTGAGGTGCTCCAGTCCTACAGGGACAGGCCAGACGCGGCACATGCGGGCAGACTGAACAGACACGTCCTGGAAGTGTCTTGCTGCTGAAGAGAGAAGAGCATGGACTCATGAAATAGCTGCAATGCTACTTCCATTAGCTTTGTAAATCTTTGTGATATTGTGGTCTTTGGGGATTAGGCAACCACTACGTGGAATGTTGGTGACCTGTGTTTTGTTTTTGGGTTTCACCCTCGGGCCCTGCATCTGTTCCCTTTGTCGGCTAGGGGCGTGGAAGTCCGTGACCTTTCACACGACCAAGACACCACCGACCTGGAGAAATGTTTGAATACAGCTCAGAAGGACGAGAAACTTTTGCATGGTTTTGTCATGTAGCTGGGACATGTAGCCAGCTCGGGGAAGATTTCACAGTGGATCAGCGTCCCAGGACTTCGCCTGCAAACGCATCTTCGTGGCAGGAACGTTTGCAGGTGTTCAGGGCCGCTTCGACCACACCTTGGGTGCATTGAACGCTTTGTGCAAGGCGGAGGTGCAAGGCATCAATGCGGCACTTCTTAGCATCGTGGTTGCTGAGCCAACTAGTCTTTTGGGAGGATTGTATGGGTTTGGACTCCGGACATTCCTGATGCTTCCGAAGTCCTCCTGGGATTTCTTCAGACCATTTGAGGCGATGATAGCTGCTGCATCCTTCTTCCTAAAGGCCGTCACTGCTTGACAGCCCCGCGTCAATCATGTTGTGGTCTCGTACCACTGGGCGGCCCAGTGCGTGTCACAACAAGCGGACTATGCTGGGACATGAAGGCGTGCTTTTGGTCATGCTTTGCTGACAGCACACATGTAACATGGGCCCTTTCTGATGCCTCTCCCCGATCCATTCCCCTTAGCACTTAGCACACCGCCGTAGTGACAATACTGCTAGTGTGCATCGTTTTTCATCAGCAAGATCCTAAGCTTGTTTCGTGGCACTTGACACAAGACATCACCCCGTTTTGTTTGGTATAGGACGCGGTGCTGGAATGGGGCGGTGTGGGCCTTATATCGTGTTTTCCTGTCTTTTGCGCCCCCTTTGTCCACGCCCCGGCAAGATTTCCGAGCTGTGGACTGAGGTTTGGTGAGCACTAGCAATGGTCTTGATGAAGCCGGTGATGGCCTAGTGTGGGTGGACACGGATGGCACAGTTCTCTGGACCTGCAACAACGTGCCCTAATACTGATACTCGTAAGATTCCTCGAGACCCTTCGAAGTGCAAGCGCTAAGAAATGCGGCGGACAGTTAGTCGCAGCAGGAAGGCCAGATCACTTGGCCAACTGATTTCAGCTGAGCTTATGAGAGGATCTCAGCTCATTGGGCGTGACTTGTAGATAGATGATCGACATGCAGAAGAATAAGAATTGTGAAGTAGTCCCACAAGACATCCTGACCTCAAGTGTCGATGGAGACCGTATAAAAGGGACACCGAGAAAACTGCGACCGCATGAGAGTCATAGGTCTACATAGGTCTACATCAAGATTTGTGCGCCTTGACAAGAAATGCTCGAGCAAATGGAAGACCACGGACGAAGAAGCGTTGCCAGGAATGGCCGGTATTGCCGCCAAGCAATGAGCAAAAGGGCTCCAAACCGGCGCAAGAGCCAGCACAAACAACACAAAGCTCCAATCCCAAGGCCTGTGTGATGTGTTTTGTTTGTCCCTCCGCTGCATGCATTGTCCTTTGGATTGCTCAGAATTGCTCTTGTCATCAGGCATCTAAAAAAGGAGATGATCCCTGGACGGCTGGGAAGGATCCGTGGGCACAGGCGGGAGGAAAAACACACATACTTCGAGAAGAAATATCAAGCAGGGAAACTTTGAAAGAGAGCTACGGTGCATCCGGAGAGCTACGTGTTTCGGGCTGTGGTCAAGAGGTCCTGCCCTTGGGAGCCAGGCAGCAAAGTGTGCAGCCCAAAGTTCCCAGAAGGAGTCCCCAAAAGTGGAGCAGAAGGAGACTAAGGCGGCTAAGGAGGCAGCGCGGCAGGACAGGAATCAGGCTACCAGCCAAACGTCATTTGCATGGTTTGAGGGCAAGAATTCTGCAATTGACCTCACTCAAGGGTGGGCATCCAGAAAGGACACATATTCGGCCACCCTGCGTAACCTTTTTCGGCGCGTCATCTTTTCCAAACACCTGCACAGGGTCTTAGCAAAGCGTGGGCATGTTTTCTAAAAAGTGTTTTGAGCAACCAGACCCTGACCGGCTAAAAGCACTGCAAAGGCTCAAGAACCGAAAATGAGGCTACAGCTTGGAACAAGAGCTGGATGTGGCGAAGAACTGAATCACTGACTCAGGACCCAGCTGAAGAGGCTCCAGCTGCAGACATCCCCCCTCCCCCGACTCAGTCACCGCCCGCCATTTGGCCAGCAACTGTATGCAAAACAAAGGATGTCTTTACAATTCTTTAACAACAAGTTTTGTCTTGCTTTTTGGTTGAGGTGTGGCAGAAGTATTTGGACAGCACGACGCAGAAGTACTGGTGGTGTCTCAAACTCAGCGCGCTGTCCAGGTTCAATGGCAACATCCCGTCTTGGCACACCAAGGCTGCATTCAAAATGAAAACAAATGGTTTTACGAGGATGACCCAAAGTGGGAGAAGTTCGAGGCGAGAACCCCCTTCTTACGCTCAGAAAGCCACCGCTTGGTATGTCCAAGTCCCGGAGGTTCACGTTGACTCATGCAGTGCATGGATGTTGAACACTGCCAGGTGCCAGAAGGGCATCCAATGGGTGCTGGCCGCATGTACAGGTGGAGCCTTGCGCCAGACGATCTAGTCCATTTGGACAAAAGAGAGCACAGACCAATGAAACAAATACAGTCACCCTTTTCTTCGTACCGTACCCCCTTCGTAGCTGTTCGTGTGTTTTGATGTGCCGAAGCTCTTCGGTTAGCTCATTCGCCCAAGCATTGAACTTTCAGTGCCTTTGTATGCCTTTGCAGCCTTTGAGCTCCAAGGAACAACGAGACCCAAGAGTGCCTCTTGGATACACAAGGCTGCCAACGCTTGGTATATCAGCTTGGTTTGGGTGCCCCTGATAACGTACAGTACTTATACACTGTACAAGAACTCCAAAAGCAATACCATCACGAATAGATTTTCAACAGATGCTACAAAATCGATTTGCTAAACTGGGAGATTTGCGGCCTTTGCGCCTGCTGAAGAAGGACTCACCTTGAAGGTGGGAGAAGTCGGTCACCGGTCTCCAAACTTTAGCAAAAGGTGTCAAAGCTGAGAACTTGGTCAGGGTTCGCACCCTATGTCAATGCAAGTGCTGTAGCTTCCTGCAAAAAAGGTCACAAAGCTGTGCACAGGCCTTATCTTGAGGAGGCTTGCCCGCAGATATATGGCCCGGTCTTCCAATCTATTCCAAGTTCCCTGGGTCAGCATGCCTTTCTTGGGAGGGTGTCCCGGAGGGTTGCGGGGTTGTGCTGCTGATGCCAGCATAGTGACATAGTGCAGCCCTCACGATTCTCTTAGGCTTCTTCGAAGATACTGGGGAGATCATCGGCCAAGGGGCATAGCCAGCATGCACAAGGCGGGAATGGATGGAAGAAACATACCCTCATGGACAAGAAAATGAAAGACAAAAGAGATAAACACGGAAGGTACTGTAAGGCCTGTCAGGAGTTTCGAAGCCAGTCGTCAAGCATGGGTCGTTGGCCAGCCTTGGGGAAATCAGTTAAAAATGGCTTTGGACTCTTGTGACAAGAGCGTGCTAGTAGCACCCAAACATGCCATGCATGATGAATTCTGCAGCAGGTGGCGGGTCACCCGCGCTTTTCGTGAGTGCCCACCAGCTGGCAGGTCTTGACTGCAGTCAAGCACGTAGGAAGGCAAGCTGCCACGAACTGCTTCTTCTGGGCATTGAGCCACTCATCTGGACATTTCTTGAACCATTCAAAGCCTTGTCCAGGGGCGGGGAGTTTCAAAGCCAATTGTCAGCCCTTTTGGGCAGGATCCCATTTGGCATAATTAGAGCTTGAGCACAATTGGCTGGGACTCCCTAGTCCCTAGTGCTTTCCAGAATCACCACCAAACCAGCATCCTGAGCCCATTTTCCGAAGTGGCAGCTTCCGAAATCATTGGTTTGAAGTTTGAAGTTCAATCAAGTGGAAGCATAGGACGGCACGAGCGATGGGGTTCTGTCTCGGGGCCTGGCCACTCTGCAAGAGTGTCCAATTTAAATCGCAGCTGCCAGCTGCCGTGTTGCAGCAGATGCTGCCGGCTTGCTTGCAGGGTCTACCGTATTTCAGTGGGGTGCATTTTCTTGGGAGGGGTGAAATACTCAAAGAAAGGAAGATCAAAGGTACTCCAATGGTCACCCTCTCCCCTCTCACTGCAATTTTGCAGAACATGTTTACGGAATCCTTGCGGCAAGCCAGAAAAGAGCAATGGCCACACAGTGCGCCTTGAGATCACCAGGCGGAAAGCCGGTGCCAAAAAGAGGCCTGTTTTGGAATGTCACAAGACTGTAAGACACCCTGCAGAGGTACGGCACTTATGGGATCTATATATACATTGGAACCAACCGCTGCAAAACAAATTGGCTCTAGTTTCGGTGCTTTTGAAGGTTCAGAACGTCGAGTTCCACTTCTCTTGTGCTCACCATGGCCTACTGCACGGTTCCGCCAATGCAGTACTCCGTGAATGTCGACCCATTGATGCACTCGCA